AGCACGTGGGCAAAAAAAAAAAGGAAATTACCAGGATCTGTCCACCAAAACATGCAGGGCTTCATGTCATACTTGATCTGCTCTAATGGTGGGCTGCTGTTGAAAAGATGGGTCCTCTTTCCTCTGTTCCTGGTGAGAGCTGGGCAGCTGGATTTGCCGGAAAATTGACCCATCAAAGGGGGAAAAGGAAGATTACGGGTTTTTTTGTTGGATGAGTGAGCTGACCTGATTCATCCTGGGTGCACCTGGTTGCTGGGTGGGACTTGGATTTGGAAGATGGAGCCAGGGATGGGGTAGAAAGCAGTACCCCATGGAGACTGGGCATCATGTTCCACCATGGACCGGGGAGAGATGGGGCATCTCCAAGAATGGCTCTGGTCTTAGGTGGGTTTCAACCCCTTCTGGAGCAATTTCTTTCTTTTCATCCCACCATAGAGACAATTTGGGGTTTCTGCACTGTACCTTAAGCTTCATTGGGTGACTTTGGGTCTTCAGCCCTGACTCCAGCGGAATTTCAGCTGATGCTTTGCTGAGTGGCTTGTTCAGGGCAGCTGAGGGCTGCAGTATGAAGTACAGGGTGGCTGTTTCCTGATTCCATCAAACAATGAACTTTTAAACACCTCCCCTTTTCTGCACTGTACCTTAAGCTTCATTGGGTGACTTTGGGTCTTCAGCCCTGACTCCAGCTGAATTTCAGCTGATGTGGCATGTTCAGGGCAGCTGAGGGCTGCGGTATGAAGTACAGGGTGGTTGTTTCCTGACTCCGTCAAACAATGAACTTTTAAACACCTCCCCTTTTAAATATTTTTTAATTAGTCCTTGATTTTTGGCTATAGGGATTTCTGGCTTGGTTGCCTGGGCAACCAGAGGTACCCTAGGTAGCATCCTCTTCATCTCATGGGCTTCCATTTAGGGGGGGACATGTTAGCACATTTCCCTTGGTTGGGAATGAGGTGGCAAAGCCTCAGCTGTGGATCAGGGAAGACTAGTGAGAAAAGTCCTTAAAGGAAGCAGAGAGGAAATCCAGTGCAATGAGAAGAGGGAATTTGCAACAACACCGTAACAGGGCTTTCCTCCCTCCCACCTCCCCAGCCATAACCAGTCTGATTTCCTCTGAAGCCTGGCTTTAAAATCAGATTTTAGTGGGATTTTTTTTGTCAGGGAAATCTCAGTGTGAGGCTTCCACCTGGGTCCTGCCACGCGATGGTGCCAGGGATGAGCAGAGCAGGGAGGAGGTGTCAGGGCATCTGCAGGCTCAGGGAGAGATGTGGGATTTGGAGGAGAAGGCTGGCACCCTGCTGGTTCTCCATTACCCACCACTGTGTCTCCTTGGGGTTGTCTTGGGATACTTGCTGTGCAGAAGGACAAGCAAGGTAGGTAGAAAGACAAGAGCCCTGCAGCCACGCTGGGCACCTGAAATGTGGGGGGTGATGACATACCACCAGCAGCTCCTGTTGAAATTGGTGGGTATAATGAACCCTCCAGAGCTGTCAGAGGGCCAAAATTTGTCCCTGGGATCTCTCCACAACACAAGAGCCATAGAAATGAAGAAGCCATGGCCAAACAAGCCTGAGAGCAGACTGTTTGCTCACGGTGGCTTTCCCCTCCCCATCCCAGGTGGTGGGGCTGGTGGTTTCTGGCCCATGGTGTTTCCTCCAGGTGAATCTCCCCAGTGCTTCAGGAGGATAACTCATCTTCCTTTTACGAGGGGATACCTTGGCTTCCTGCCTTTATCAACAGAGCAGCTCGTAGGCAGCCATCCAAAGGCAATTTGATGCGGTTTCAAATGCACGCTGTACAGGGATGAACTGTAAATGCCTGTGGCTGTTTCTTTCCCCATTTCAAAGAGCGCTATCGACTGCTCCATGCGATGATGAAGCATGCCTGTACCTGACTTAGCTCTTCATTGATTATCTGGCAATGCAAGAGTCTCCTTCTTGGACTGGGGAATGACCACTGCCTTTACCTCTCCTGTCTTTTACCAGAGCTATTGGCCAAGTGGCTTGTTATCCCATGAATGTTTCATGCTGCTCCATAAGGAAGATTTTAACTGGTGGTAGTGGATGTCATCTCATCTGCAAAGCAATCGTCACTGAATCTGCCCACTTCCAGTGATCATTTTGGAGGCTGATTAGGAAGGGAATTCCCACGTCAAAAAGGAGCTTGAGCAGCTGCATGTCAAAGCCCAGCACTGGCTTTTATTCTTCTCTCAGTTCATAGAATCATAGAACAATTTGGGTTGGAAGGGACCTCTAAAGGCCATCTAGTCCAACCCCCTGCAACGGGCAGGGACATCTTCAACTAGACCAAGTTGTTCAGAGCACTGTCCAACCTGTCCTGGAATGTTTCCAGGGATGGGACACCTTCCATCTCTCTAGGCAACCTGGTGTTTCACCAACCCTCATCGTAAAAATTTCTTCCTTATATTTAGTCTGAATTGACACTCTTTTAGCTTAAAACTGTTACTCATTGTCCCATCACTATAGGCCCTAATAAAAATTCTGTTCCCAGTTAAACTAGGACTTTGGAGATTGCTCTCTTGCTGTTCTTCAGGTGGCCCAGCAGGAGCCCGTGAAGGTCTTAGCAGTGCTCAGAAAGCCAAGTCTCACAATGTTGTGTCTCTGGACCTGCTGGGGTCTGATCCATCTTCGACTGGAGCCAATGGGGTGCCATAAGGAACTGAGCTGGGCTTTGAAAGAAGTCAGGAAGGAGGCACTGTCCCTGTTGAGACGTGAAGTGAGAATAGCCAGTGGGTGGGATTTGGAAGAAGAAATATCAGTACACAGAGCTGACACTAACGCGGGCATTTCCCTGTACATGAGACATTTAACATTTAACTTTTTTGCTTTTTTGAGTTTCCAAAGAGCTCCCCACTGCCCTAATCTGCCCTGGTAATAAAACATTTCAGTGTGTTCCAAAAGCAGCTTCAGGGAAAAAAAAAAAAAGCAAAAAAGCAAAAAAGATTTTAAAAAAGCAGTATTTGTTTAGAAGGGTTTGTAGAAGGGAGCAAGATATGGTCTGTCTGCACAGAACGAAGGGGAATCAGCCTTGATGCCATTAGGAAAGGGCTATCTGGAAATGTGTCTGCAGAAAATAGCACTCCCCCCTGCATCCCCTCCGCACACATATGTGTTTTCTCAAGAAACAGTCGAGATGGGCTGGGTCTGGGGCTCATCTTACTGATTTTCTGTTGTTTCTGTAGAATAATGGACCCTGGAGGATTGCTTGTTGGCCCTCAGCAATGCTTTGGTTGCAGGCTCTTTGGCCAGAGTCCCAACCTCTGCTCTCTATTTGCAGGAGGTCTGGGAGTTACCACCACATGACTCATATCAGTGATCAGGACAATATTTTTGCAAGGCTTTTCCCTCTTTGCGCTTGTTTTGCGCATTGGCAGGTGGTCCCTGGTGGGTCTCCTGGGAAGGAGAACAGGGCCAAGATGACCAATTGCTGCCGAGGGGTGGGTGAGGGAAGATGAAGTGTGAACTTCTAGGAAATGGTCCCTGGGAAGGTGCAGGGGCTGTGGGGAAGGCGCCTGGGCCAGATCAAAGGCGGTGTGGGGAAAGATGATCCTGCAAGGAAGTTAATGAAGTGCTTTTAAACAGCCGTGGGAAAGGTGAGAATAGAGACCAGGGGGGCTGAGGTGGAGACAGGGACGTGTGTTAAAAGGGGATTGGGGGTGGGTTTTTTTTAGCTAAATGAGTGCTTGGCACGTGAGTCTCTGTTTCTCACCAGCAGCATAGCCATAGAGCGGTGCTGATGAAACTGCTTGCCTGGTGTGGTGGGAGTTTTTGTTGCCAGCCTCCTGGAGACCATTTGTAAGGTCTGAGGAGCCATCACCCATGACTGCAATGGGAACCAGTGAGGACAGCCCTCACTGCCTCTGTTGACCTGGGGGATGCTCCCATTTACCCTCCCCAGAGACACAGAGCTAACACTTTTTGGGCTGGCTCTTGAAATCACACAGCTGCTGTTGCCCACAGTTGTGTGGAGGAGCTGTTAGAATGTCATCTGAAGAGGTCCAGCAAAGCTGGAGAGGTGCACATCAGCTCTCCTCCTTTCTCAACTGTGACAATGGAGGAGCAGAAATGTCTTTGATGGAGGAGGGATGGAGAGAGCTCCTTGCCTGCTGGCATTGTTAATCAGAGAGAATACTTAATGTAATTAGCAAAGACTCCCCAGAGGCTCTTTATGAAAGAAATTGGCACTCTCCACTCGATGACTGTGCAGGAGGCTGGGCCCACCACAGCAGTCTGCGTTAGACTGAGCAGTCCTTGGTTCCTCTGCTCCAGCAAGCGAGGAGCAAAGTGGCTCTTGTCTTCCTGCCTGCCACCAGCCCGAGGAGGCTTGGTTTTAGCCACCTGATATAAAGCCATGATCTTACCAACCTAAACACTTCTAAATTTGCATCTGAAGTCTAAGAAAGGGAGACGTGCTGTCCCTTTGGCCAGTAGGCAGCTAGACTTTCTAGCTGTTCATCCTCGATGATGTTCTGGTGATGCCCTTATCTCTGTCATCTACAGGAAATTTGAACAGGAGTTTGTTTTTTCCTTTCCTGATGGGTTGACAGGGTCTGGGGAACCTGGTGCTCCCAAATCTTACATGGATGCCCTGACATGAAGACCTCTGTGTACTGAAGTTTGCCAGGCTGTAAAATGACTCAGCTGTCATCTAGCTTCTTCTATGGTCAAGTCAAAAGGATGCATGTGGGCTAGATCTTGCTTGAAGGCAGCCTACTGTTATTACATCTCATTTCTAGTTTTGTTTTAACTTTATATCTGTAAATACTGTTAACAAGCTCAATATTGTTTTCTCCATTAAATTTGCAGAGAGGTTCACAACATGAGAGACAAAGTGTTTGGGACATCCGTGATATTGAGGGGTATACTTAATCTATCCCTTTGGAAATACAGAGGGAAAGACTGCACAACTCAAACTGTTACACATCTTCAGTAATTTCTACAGCAATTAAATCTTAATTTTCTTATTGTCTTGTTTTCCAGGTCAACAATGCAGTTCCTACCCTGGTTCAATTTGCTGCTTCTCCTTCCTTGTTTTGGCACCACCAAAACCTGCTTCCCCGGCTGCCACTGCGAAGTGGAAAGCTTTGGCCTCTTTGACAGCTTTAGCTTGACCAAGGTGGACTGCAGCGGCATAGGCTCACACATTGTTCCTGTCCCAATCCCTTTGGATACCTCCTACTTGGATCTATCATCAAACAAACTGGAAACAATCAATGAATCGATGCTTACTGGCCCTGGATACACCACCTTGGTGAGCCTCGACCTGAGCTACAACAAAATTGCCAAGATTTCCTCCACAACCTTCTCCAGGCTTCGGTACCTGGAGTCCTTGGATCTGAGTCATAACTCTCTGGAAGTCCTCCCGGAGGACTGTTTCTCCAGTTCTCCTTTGGGTGACATAGATTTGAGCAATAACAAGCTTTTGGATATAGCCATGGACACTTTTGCTTCAAAAGGTCAAGGAAAACCCCTGAATGTGGATCTATCCAATAACATGCTCAGCACAATTACGAGGCACCGTGAAAAGAGCATCCCCAACATCCAGAACTTAAATCTTTCTGGAAACAGGCTGACATCGGTGCCAAACCTTCAAGGGATTCCTCTCCGATACTTAAATCTCGACGGGAACCCTCTAGTCAAGATCGAGAAAGGAGACTTCACAGGACTGAAAGATTTGATTCATTTATCCCTCAGTGGCCTGCGTGGCTTTGGAGAATTATCTCCTTATAGTTTCAAGGAACTACCAGCTCTCCAAGTTCTGGATTTATCCAACAATCCCAACTTGAAGTCACTACCTGCTGAAGTGATCTTTGGTCTGAACTCCCTACAAGAGCTCAACCTTTCTGGGACAGGCGTGTCATCCTTGCCAAAGACTGTGCTGAAATACCTGCCTTCCATCAAAAGCATCACCCTGGGGAAGAACATACAGTGTCTTAAGACCATCAAAGAAGGACAGTACCACCGACAAATTGGGCTGACCAAAAAAGAGGTCCTCAGTTGCCACGACAGCCACGGGTCCGTAGCAGCAGCGCCTTACGTTTCGTGATGAAAGCTGGGGAGATGGGGGGTGGGAAAGGGAGGGGAGGGGTGGGGTGTGGGATTTGTACAGGTGTCGGACTGAGATGGCTTGCAGTGTGCCTTTTGTAAAACTGTCAATAATTTATATATTTGTATATGCCAACACTTGATTGTTTGTGGATTTTATAAACTCTCCAATCCTGGCCCGCGTCGTCTGCAGGCTCCAGATTTTACCTGGTGCATTGAGGTCCTGCAGGCAGCCCGTTCCCTCAAGAGTGGTGATGCTGGACAACGGGGACCAAGCTGCTCTGCAGGTCCCAGGGCAGAAAGGTCAGTCTGGACCAAACCTTCCTGTCCCAGACATGTTTGTAGGAGCAAAGCTACGTCTCACCAGAGCACACACCAAAACATACCGACTCGGTAGCTGCTTGCTTACAAACCCATGCATCATCCTTTTTTTTTAATTATTACTCCCCAAGAAGTGCCTTCTGGATGTTGCCTTCGTTAGCAGCACCCTGTTCCTTGTCATGCACTTTCAGTCTTGAAGAAACATTTCCAGACCAACCTGAATACAGGGTACTCCTAATGTGCTGGTTTTTACACGTTATTTGCATAGGTGTGCAATGAACATTGAGTAAGCCGAGAACTTTTTCCACAGTGTTCTCCCTGTTTTCCCCTCTCGATTCTTTCTGTGTCTAATTACTTTAGGTCCAACCTTGGCAACCTCCCGTCTTTCTACCCTTAGTGAGTCGTTGCTCAGAGCTGATGCCCAGCAGGGCAAGGGGAGCAGAAGGACCTCCCAACAGCCACGTCTCACCCAGGAACCAACCTCCTATGAACCAGATTGACTGAGTTGCAAAGCAAAAGGATTGTGTAGCCTAGCTTACAAAAAAAATAATAAAAAAAATAAATGCCTGTTCCCTTTCTGGGGAAGCTCAGAAGAAAACTTTGACAGGGATTCTCATCTTGACAACTTTATCAAATCAAGATGCAGACCCAGAGGACGTGAGAGTAAGCTGTTTCCATGCTGACGTTCCCCATCTGAACACAACATCTGCGACTCAGCTGGGCACGCGTGAGGCAATTTCCAGCGCCGAAACGCTCTCCAGAACGTGCCAGGGGAAGAATTAGCACTGACGCCTGCGACCCTGGAGCGCTTTGCCTATCAGAGGAAAGATCTTGGGTTTTATTTTCTAGGGTTGTAGCTTTTCTTTCCCTCACACAGCTCCCTGGCTGCCAACTGAAATCTGATAAAAAGCCTGGTCCTCGGAGATTTACTCATTTTTTCCTCCATTGCTGGAGTTCTGGCAAAGCAAAGCGGAGCCCCTCTCGTCCTTCTTCTTCTCCAGGCCAGGAGAAAGCAGGGGAAGGCAGCACAGCATGACTCAATGCCGTATGTGAAGCCTTGTTTATGGGAGCTCCTGCAGTGGAGGTGTCTGCTGAGGTCGGGTCCACATCTGGCACGCTCTGTCCTGGGGATGGGAAGGGACGTTGTGGATGGTGGTCCTGCTTGGGCTGGTCTGCAGCTTGGTTTCCAAACCCAGCCTTGCATGGAGGCAACCTTCAGCGTTTGAAACTGATTTAAGGAGGTCCATGCAAAGGTGATGCAGATAGAAACCCATCCCACAACCCTCCTTAGGAGCATTGGGAGGAGCTCAGGCTTTGTTTCACAGCCCCAAAGGTCTTTGCAAATTGAAACCCTATTGCCCAAAGCAGCTGTCTCCAGGGATGGTTGAAACCCATTGGACCTATAAAAGCCAGAGTCAAAACTCCACGTTAGACTCTGAAATTCCTCTCCCACTTTTTCATCCACCTCCTTTTCAATGATTTGTTTGGGGACCTTAGGGTGGTTTTTAACCCTTTCTTTCAGTCTTGGGGCTTTTGCCTCTCTCCTGAGCCTTTGCAGCGCTCGACCAGCCTTCAGTCATAAGAAACATGTTGATTTTCTTAAAAAGGCAACGGGACTGCCTACAGTTAGGGATCTGGAGGGGAACAGCAACCAACTGCAGTGCAAGATGGGGGCAGTTTGGGAGGAAAGGGGTGGTTTTTTTAGTGGATCTTGCCTTTTTAAGAGAATTCTTTTCTGCTGGCAGAAAATGTAATTTTTTTTTTTTTAAAAAAAAGAAGTTGTTTAATTTTATAAGTCTGTACATAGATGCAATGTTACAGGGATCACATACTGTCAGAGTTACTGTCTTTGTGCCACTGTGGTAAGTTCAAAACCCGATGTGACAATCCAATTGGAGACTGCAAGATTTCCTTGTGTAATCTCTCGCTAGCTGCGAGCTAAACGAGTCTTAGCAAAAAGCTGGCAAATACCGTCGCTGTGTTAGTTTGTTTTTTTTCTAAAGAACCTCTGCAGCATTGTAAGGCTTTGTGATTACTCACAATATAATAAAGTCATTTGGAGGAGAATAAACCCAGATCCCCCGGATTTATTGCCTTAGCGCTGGGAAGGCGGCAGCTGTTGCTGGGTCTTGACGTGCAACGCGGCTTCTCTCCTTGCTCTGCTCAGCCCCACCAGCCTCGAGGGTGATGCATCTCCAAACTGGGAGGGCCAGGATTTGTCCCGCTGTGTTTGGCCTGCTGGTCTCCTCACTGGCCAAAAAGGCTTAAGAACTTCAGTGGCTGACTCAAAAGAAATCTTGGAGCTGTGGCAGTGAAGCAGCACAAGACTATCTGGAGTAAATTTCCTGCTCCAGGATCTGCTCCAAAGCTTGTCAGAGATGGTTGGGGGCCTCTTCATGGATTTGGCGAATCTGGGACACAAACTGCTAGGGTTCAAAGGCTGAATTTGTAAAGTGGGTGATGTGGGGAGAGCCCTCACGCTGTTTCATGAGACCGTTGGGGTGGAGGGAAGCGAATGGGATCAGGGGTAACGGGTTGAAACTGAAAGAGGGAAGATTTAGATAGCAGTTTCATGAGACCGTTGGGGTGGAGAGAAGCGAGTGGGATGAGGGGTAATGGGTTTAAACTGAAAGAGGGAAGATTTAGATTAGAGATTAGGAAGAAATTCTTCACTATGAGGGTGGTGAGACACTGGCCCAGGTTGCCCAGAGAAGCTGTGGCTGCCCCATCCCTGGAAGGGTTCAAGGCCAGGCTGGATGGGGCTTTGAGCAACCTGGTCTGGTGGGAGGTGTCCCTGCCCAGGGCAGGGGGTTGGAACTAGATGATCTTTAAAGTCTCTTCCAACTCCAACCATTTTGTGATTCCATGAGTGATGCTACAGCATGGAAAGCTGCACACTGCCAGACCACAGTTGTGATTCCATGAGTGATGCCACGGCATGGAAAGCTGCACACTGCCAGACCACAGAGCTTTTGGCAGTGAGATACACGTGGTCCAGCCTCACCACCGCTCTCTGAGGAGCAGGGGCTGCTGTGTGGAGGGCTAAGAGCACGCAGAGCCATTGCAGCTAGAGAATAAATAGAAACACCTCAGGAGGGCTTTGCTTGCTCTTAAATAGCAAATTTAATTTTAAGCACTTCTTGGTGTTGTGTATAAAAGTGATGCAAGCAGAGCCCCAGCAAGGAAACCACCCCCGGGAAGCTGCAGTGTTCCCAGTCCTCCCAAGCCTGAAGGAACAACTGCATCTTCCATCCAGGCTGTCAGAGCTACAGGCTGCCTGGAAGAGGCTGTTGGTTCTCCATCTGCTTTTCCAAAGTGCCCCATCCTCCAGGACTGCAAGGTTTGGCCAGACTATAACCTGGGGTAGACATCTCCAGGAAAGGCCAGATCCTGCTCCCAGCACTGTTATGGATTGTAGAGGAAAAGCCATCACCAACCCTTTGAGATGACCAAGAATACCCAGAGAAGTTGTGGATGCCCCATCCCTAAATGCCCAGAGAAGTTGTGGATGCCCCAGCTTTGGAAGTGTTCAAGACCAGGCTGGATGGTGTCCCTGCTCATGTCAGCAGGGTTGGAACTCAATGACCTTTAAGGCCTCTTCCACCTCTAACCATTCCATAATCCTATGACTTCTCTGGTGTCCACCATGGCATGCTGTAAACATTAGGCTACACCACCACACTCCTTCTGGGGCTCCTTCTGGATGGGATCCCTTCTCCTCTGGTGTCCACCATGGCATGCTGTGAACATTAGGCTACACCACCACGCTCCTTCTGGGGCTCCTTCTGGATGGGATCCCTCCTGCCCTGGAACAACAGCCAGAGGGGTGGAGAGTGTCCTGCTGCCCCAGTCTTCCAGGGGATGAACACTGCCCAGGGAACAACAGGTTGGAAGCTGGCTTCTCCTACTTCCATATGAATGCAGCACTTACATGGTGCTCCAGCGCTGTGCTGGACCTTGTCCCTCACAGTACTTCTTTGCCCCCTTGCCTTACCTTCCTCTCATTCTGCTCGTGATTTTTATTATCTAAATAGTCTTTCTGAAGCTCTCTGCATGGGAAGAAGCACGCAAGACTCCATCAGCAGCACAAGCCCCCACGTTGTCCATGCATGTGTTCCCTTCCACCATGGGAGACCCAGACGCCTGAAACACAGCACCAACGTCCCCACGCAGAAGGAAAAGGCTTCAGGATTGGAAAATTTGAGGAGGCCCTCCCGCCAGCTTCCTAAAGCTGCTGTCGGCTTGATAACATGGCGTGAGGAGCTGAACCCTGGTGTCAGACATCACCCCAAGCCACCTATGCCAGGAGAGCCAGCCAGGCTGGTTAGCTGCAAGCTCCGTCTGTCTGCAGGACCAGCTCAGCTCTGCGGCCGGATACGTTTGCCCTGGCAAGCGAGATGGGCTTTTTTAATTAGAGGCTGAATATTTTTAGAAGCAGGAAAACCTCAGCAGAGGCTGGGCAATAAGGATAGGCTGGGTTAGGGAGGGGGAAGAAGCGGCTGAGCTGGCATTTCCTTGCATCACTCTTGTCTCCTGGAGGTTTCCCAGCATCTTACCCCCCTTCCCAGCATGTCGGGAAAGACAATCAGGATTGCTTCCCCCCTCCATCCACCTCACACCCAGGGCAGCACAGGACAACCTTCTTATCTTTATTTCAAAACACAAACCCCTTGGTAGCCAAAAGCCCCCAATTTCCTTCTCGCCAGCCTGCTGGAACCGTTCCTCCTGGCTGTCAGCTCTCAGCCTACAGAATCCCCTCACTGACTGGTGATGTGACTGACTCCATAGCAGCAGTAGGTGCCATCCCTTTTAAAAATAGCTGCTCCTCTGTACATTTTCCATGTTGCGGGAGGTTTTTATTTCCAGCACGTTTGTTCCACACACCCTGACTTGGTCAGGCTGGAAAGAGCGGATGCACTCTTGCAGTGCCAGAAAAAATAACGCTGCACGGCTGGGCATAATCCTTCGGGCTGCCCCAGAACCTGCCTCCTGTGAAAGCTTTGGGGCAGCCAAACCTTCTGCCCCATGCACGTTTCTACAGGTGGCACCGTGGGGTTATTCCTGCCCCGTCGCCCCTGAGACATCCCCTCCCTTCCCTTTTGGAGTGGAGGAAGGGACCTGGGCACCTGATTAAAAGGTGGGAATCGGAGCTGAAAGTAGGCCATCAGATAAATCCTCTGCTGTAATAAGCAGGGAGTGGGAGCACCAGCCCTTAATCACAGCCTTTGTCTCCCAGCATTTGTATGCCTGTGTGCATGCGTCCCACGGTGCCAGAACAAACCCACCACCCCCCTCCTGCCCCATCCCCACCCCTGCACGGCCTTTCATTAATGGCATCAAGCCACAGACCCCTGTGCCAAGGGCTGTGCATCCTTCAAAAAGCTCCCACCAGCCCCAAAAGGGGGAATACTGCATCCAGTTCTGGGCTCCCCGGTTCAAGAGGGACAGGGCACTACTGGAAAGAGCGCAGCGTAGGGCTACAAAGATGATTCAAGGATTGGAGCATCTCCCTTATGAGGAGAGGCTGAAAGAGCTGGGACTCTTTAGTCTGGAGAAGAGAAGGCTGAGAGGCGACCTTATTAATGCCTACAAGTATCTCAAGGGCGGGCTGAGGGAGGAGGGAACCAGACTCTTTTCAGTAGTTGCCAGTGAGAGGACGAGGGGCAACGGGCACAAGTTGGAACATAAGAGGTTCCACTTGAATATGAGGAAGAACTTTTTCACGGTGAGGGTGATGGAGCCCTGGAACAGGCTGCCCAGGGAGGGGGTGGAGTCCCCTTCTTTGGAGATTTTCAAGCCCCACCTGGATGCTCCTGAGTAACATCCTCTGACAAGCTCTGGGTGGTCCTGCTTTAGCAGGGGAGTTGGACTAGATGATCTCTATGGTCCCTTCCAACTCTAAAAATTCAGTGAAATTCGGGCAGGGGGATGCGCTGCCACCTTGCCCATCTCCATCCCCTACGCTGGTCCAGGGTGCACCCCGAGGGGATGAAACAGCCTGAAAAAAACAACAATAAATCCACAGTTTTGCCCCTGGAAACTTTCCCACCACCGTGGTGATGTTTTTTAACCCCCCACCAGGCTGCCCGCCTGGTCCTCTGTGCCACGTGCGCTCCCCTCCTCTTCCTCCTCAGCGGTGGGGGATGTGTGTCACGGGGAGGCACTTGCTGGTAATTGACTGGGGCCGTGCTGGGAATTTCGAACCTACATTTCAAAGAGATCGTTAACCTCCTTTTCCTTCTCTTTGAACTGCTTCGCTTTATTGTAGGTTAAAGGAAACAGACGGCTTCTTCCTCCCACAGCCCCTTTTGACGGGAGCCCAGCACATCAGAGCCAGCGTTTGGTTTTTTTTTACCAGCAATGATGATGGCGGTGGAATGCTGCTAAGTGGCCTGTGATGATGTACTTTGGTGGGAACAAACGGCCCTATGATTTTGGAGGGCATTGTAGGTAAAGGAATGGTCCAGAGATGGCCAAGAGGCTGGCAGATGCACACAACATCACTGTGCTGGCAGCCCACGGCGCATTCTCAGCCCAGAGAGGACCAAGGAAGGCCCACAGGTTATTGGTCACTCACCCAGAAACTAGGTTCAAGCCCCTCTACCATCCAGGTGGGCTTGGACACATGAAGTTCAACTTTTCCGGGGTGTGTTTCCACAGGTGGTTTAAGTCACCCTGTGACTGCAGGGCAACAGAGAGAGGTTCTCCTGACCTTCCTTTCTATTACATCAAAGCCAGCATTTCAGAAGCCCTTCACTGTATCAAAAGAGAAAAAAAGGCCATTTTTCAGACAAATCCATGAGTTGAACCAACCCATCAGGTGGCCATGCAGCTGCCAGCAGAACTGCACAGCAAGAAGAGCATGGTGCGCTGCACAAAGAGCACTCTGAGTCCCTCTTCACAAGAGTATCTGGACTCTATGAGCGATGTCCTCATCCATTTTAAGTTCAAAACAGCTGGACTGAAGGCTCCCAAGTACCTCTGAGCATCTACAACTCAGTCCTGGTTGGGTTGCTGTGAAGATAATTGTACGTAAGAACTGTGAGGTGTTAGATTAGAA